TCCAGCTGTGAACTGCCGTGACCGGTCCTTTTGGAGCTTCTGCTTCAAGACGAACTGAAAACTTCACCTGCTGTTGCTGCAAACAGGGAGCTCAGTTTAAGTCTTCTGCTACCAGTTTCCTACTCCCGAGGAACTGGTGGACCCTTGTCAAATCTGGAGGAGTCCAGAAATGTCAAGAAGGTCCCCTAAAAAGACTCCAAAGATTGGTGAGGTCCAGAGCCCTGGATTCTCAGACCACCTTGCTACTCCATCACCCCTCTCCTCGATTTTTCATTCTGTTTCTGTCACCTTTTACTTTTGCTTCTCATGTAGCAATTTAAGAATTTTATCAGTCGCCATCAAAACTTTTAATTTCTTTGGGCTACAGGAATAGTCTTTGTGCATTGATGATGTCCCTGGTTTCAGCCCCCAGTTCTTCCAGTTCATGTTCACTGGAACTTAGTAATGCAGATCTGTTATTTGCATGGCTCTTAAGCTCTCCAGGAATGTTGTTTAGATCATATTTTGGCGCTATGACTGTTTTGGTGTTTTTCTACAGCTTTATTCTAATTTTTGATATTAACAGTTCATTGTCTGGACCACGATCAGCTCCTGATCTTATTTTAGCAGAGAAATGAGCTTCTCCAGCTTCTGCTTCCAATTCTGTAACCTTTTTGATTTCTGTATTGGCTGTCTGGTGATGTGCACGTCGACAATCATCTGTTTGGTTGCCTGAAATGTGTGTTTGCACTGAACAACTTCTGGTCTTCACAGAATTCCCCCAGTCACTCTCCTGCTTCATTTTGTGCCCCTAGGCTCTACCCGTGAAGTAAATTAAGTAAAGGTGAATAAGTCCTCTCAAGCTCCTTGTTCCTGTGTAGCCAGAGTGTGCCTGCTGGTTCAGCATCTGAGGCTTCAGGCTCTCTGACTCCACCTTTCCCCACTGGATCAACCCTTCGTCTTGCTCACTAAGGGCTGCTGTGTGGGGAGCAACAGCCCTCCTGGGCTTCCCAGGTGTGGCACAACCCCTGCTCTGGTCTCCAGGGTGCAGGAGAGGGTGCCCCAGCAGATGCCTGCCTGGTAGTAGGCACGCGAGCCAACCAGGGCACCCAGGCCCACGCTTGTACTGACTCCCAGCTCTCGCGCTCGGCCGGCCGGCCCAGGGGTGGGCGGGCTGCTCAGGTGGTAGCCTCTTGGCAGGCCTCCACCTCCTGTTTGGCCAGCACCTCTCCTCCCATCTCCTCTGCTCCCCTCCTGGATGGCCCAGGCCCACGCCTGCAGCCTCCGAGGAAAGAAGCAGGGTGCTTTCTGCGGGTTGAGGAGGGCTGCCCTGCCGTGGGTGAGGGAGGGAGAGCTCGGGAGCCAGGCACAAGGCCTTCCTCTGTTCCACGCGACAAGCAGACTCTGCTTGGCCTTCCCAGAGCAGAAGCTCTTGGGCTCCCCCCCCCTCCCAAAAGTGACAGCGCCAGACAGTGAGTGTGGGGTGGTGGTGGTGGAGCATGGGGTGACTGGAGACCTGAGGCAGGATAATACTCAGAAGGAGGAGGGCGACCCGCCTGCCCTTCCCGATCCCTCCTGCCTCTCGGTTGCCTGGGCTCCTGACTCGGGTTAGGGTGTCGCTTGTGGCTTGTGCAGCGAGCTCCCCCGCCAGAGGCCCCCACCCGCCGTGAGCTCCGGAGGCTCGAGACCTCTGTGCCCTGGTGGGGGCTCACGTGCCACTGGGCCCGTGCCATGGTGGGCGGCAGTAAAATGCCTTCCTCCATTGTGGCCGGGGGGGGAGAGAGAAGAAGTCATTTTTCCATTGACTCAAGCGGGGATATATTTAAAGTGATGCTGGCACACCGTTCAGGCATGAGGGGTGGGACTGACCCAGAAGCAGCACAGGAGCCCAGCTGAATTCCTCCTTTGCCAGCCAGGCCCCCCCAACCCCCTAGCCCAGGACCCACCACCACCACCACTGCAAAAGGCAGGGTAGCCGTAGCACATGGCGGTTTATGAACAGTCCCCTCCTGCCCCACCCGGGACACGGCCACCTTGTAAGAGACTGCCTAGGTTGCCACTCAGGTCCCCTGTCGGTCCTGCTCTCCTTTGCTCGGCCGTTGGCCGGCCTGCGGTGTAGCAGCCCAAGGAGGCCTTCCCCAGCGGTGGAGGAAACACGTGCCGGGTCTCTTGCATGGCCACGGGGGGGGGTGGTTGAGCCGCCTGCTGCCAGCCGTGAGCCAGGCATCTGCCTAGTTGAGGCCCGCCTGAGCCAGAGGTCAAGGGGGACGGGGCTTCCTCAGCGGTGCCGGGGTCCCCTCCCCCGCCCGTTCTGCTTAGCCAGAGTGCCTCGTCAGCCCCAGGGACGGGTGCCTGGGCTGGATCTGGGCCAGACTCTCAGGGCCCCCCCTCCTCCTCACCCTTTCCCCCTCCAGCTGTCTTCTGACAGCTGGACTCAGAGGAACCTCCAGGTAGGCAGTCACCCAGAACGCCTTGCTGGCCCAGACCATGGCAAGAGGGCGGAGGTGGCTCCCTGCCTCTGCCCCCCCTCACCCGTTCGGGCTTAGGGCAAAGGGCGGCTCTTCACAAAATGAGGCAGGGAGGGGTAAAGCAGGGGAGGCACCCACAGCCTTGGAGCAGCAACCCCCTCCCCATCTGCTCCAAATTCACCCCCCACTCCCCAGCAAAGCCCCTTGAGGGGCATTTATCCGTTGGGGTGCTCTGAAGCATCTCTCCCTGCCCAGGCCAGATCCACGGCCGGGCAGCAGCAGGGGAAGGGGGTCTTCCGTGCCCTCTCTGGGTACTGCCCTTGGCCCTGTCACTCCTCCCTCCAGGCTAGCTTTGCCCATCTCACTTGCCCCGCCCCCCCTTCACCTCTGTGGGCCACTGACCTTCTGCATGGCTTGGAGACCCCGTCTGCAGGGGCGGCCAGGTTCAACTCCCCACCTTGGGAGCTCGCCGGGTGGCTTTGGACCAGAGTGCCGCTCCTACACCCTCAGCCTAGCCTTCCTCGCAGGGGGGCCGTTGCTGTCGCTGGGTGGATTACGTGGAAGAGAGGCCGGTGGGGGGGGGGGAGCCCGCTGCTGCGCCCCAGTGGGGGATGAAGGTGGAGGCACTCAGTGAAGTGAAGCAGCCAGTCAGTTTCCTGGGGAAGGGGGAGCTATTCTCACGAGGGGGGGAATGACTGCCATTCAGCCCTTCGTGGCTGCTCCGTGCCTGGCGGAGAAGAGCTCGGAAGGCCCCCCCCCGGGACCCCTGCCCAGTAGCCCTTTGCCTTTGTCACAGGCGGTCAGCTCCGCAAAAGTGGGCCCGAACCCAAGCAGCCGGCGGTTCCCATGGCTTTCTGTCCTCCTGGGAAGGGC